ATTATTATGTTGTCTTCATCGTCGCGTTGTCGTCGTCGTCGTTGCTGTTGTTTTTGTTGTTGTTGCCGCTGTTGTTGTTTTTGTTGTTGTTGTCGCTGTTGTTGTTGTTGTTGTTGTTGTTGCCGTCGGCGTCGTTGTTGTTGGCAGTGGTGGTGGTGTCATTGTTGAAGTTGTTGTTTTGCATAAGATTACAAGTATTAGCTTGTGTCTTTTGTGTGTGTATGTGTATCTGTGTGTGCATGCATGTGTGCGTGTGTGTACGTGCGTCTGTCCGTGTGTGTGTATGTGTGTGTGTGATTGTATGTGTATATGTGTGTATGGGTGTGTGTGTGTGTGTGTATGTGGGTGTGTGCCTGTGTGTATTTGTGTGTGCGCAGGTGTGTGCGTGTGTGTGTGTGTGTGTGTGTGTTTGTGTGTGCGTCTGTATGTGCATGTGTTTATGTATTTGTGTGTGTAAACCTGTGTGTATGTGTGTGTGCGCGCGTGTATGTGTACGCGTTTGTAACTATCAATACTATCATCATCTCTCCGCAGCATTCTCCGGCCTGCGATGCCGCCCTCAGCAGCACACAATGTGTGACGTAGAACGCACACGACCAGACATGGACCTCAACAGCACAACAGACACGCCTACCCCGGAAATAAACTGTGACCACGCCCCCAGCCTCGCTGTCATCCTCAATGCTACCGTCAGTGTGCTGCTTTCGCTACAACTTGACCTCGTAGGGGTCATCTATGACCACACTGCCGGTGAGTAGAAACACGAGCGCTAGAAACACGAGCAGTGAGGTGAAACATTAGAAACACGAGCACTAGAAACACGAGCAGGGAGGTGAAACATTAGAAACACGAGCAGTGAGGTGAAACATTGGAAACACGAGCACTAGAAACACGAGCAGTGAGGTGAAACATTAGAAACACGAGCAGGGAGGTGAAACATTAGAAACACGAGCACTAGAAACACGGGCAGTGAGGTGAAACATTAGAAACACGAGCAGTGAGGTGGAACATTAGAAACACGAGCACTAGAAAGACGAGCAGTGAGGTGAAACATTAGAAACACGAGCACTAGACACACGAGCAGTGAGGTGAAACATTAGAAACACGAGCACTAGAAACACGAGCAGTGAGGTGAAACATTAGAAACACGAGCAGTGAGGTGAAACATTAGAAACACAAGCAGCGACAACTTGTGTGGAGAGTTCCAATTGGTCGTTTTTAAGGACAAGTGGGCAAACCAGATCTCGGGGTTTCCAGAAATCTTGACCTACACCAAAGAGGGGTATTGCCTTACCTATAGGAGAAGTTTGGTTTTATTGGTGTGCATTTATTTGTTTGGTTATAGAGAAAACTTTACTGGTCTTTTAAAGAAACTGAACAAAGAGCAAAAACTTTACCTTCGATTTTCTCAAAACAGCACTTTTCGGGATAGCCCCCTTGTACTTAAAAGCGACCAATTTCGACATTAATTTTGGCAATTCTCTGAAGTTCCCTTTTTTAGTTCTTACAGAAGCCTACAATAAGCTGCGCACACCCGCAATTGGAAGTAGAGCTTTTGATCTCTCAAAATGTGGCAAACGTTTCTCTGCCAGAATTGGTTTCATCAGCCAGAACATTCGTCATTCGTCATCCTAACTTTGTATTCTTTTACTTCACTCGAGAAGTACATTTGTATTCTCTTCTGCTGATGCATTGGTCATCGTAAGACATTGACGGAGAAACAATTAAAATTATTATCACTAAAAGTCCCCTTTGCCACATGAGCACCAAACTCAGTCTCATCGGAGGCCAAACTCAAATCGCACAATTAGGATAGGGGGCTGAACTAAATAAACGCTCGTTGAGAAGTGGAAAGCAAACTACTTTTTCAATAATAATGTGAACTAAAACAGACAAAAAGTTGAAACAATAACAGATCAAGGCATGCTAGTTCTCGATCTTATGCCAATTTGTCAGAGCTGGATGTTTCGCATTTTATTTTCTTGACAACTAGTTTTATTGTTAGATTTGGAGTAATGTTTTATGTTCTGAAGATCCTCAGGATGGGCTGTCTAAGATTCTGTCACGGGCCGGATGTATAATTGTGTTTGGCGTGTCAGATGCGCCCACATGGGTCTCTGATTTTACACCTGTACCTTACAACGTACGGTTCCTCATTGTAACTATCAGAACTGTTGACGTCAACATTAAAAAAGTTACGATTTACGAAATAAATTCCAACCGTGACTGGCTATGTTATCTTCAGGTCTGGCACTAAATGATGATCGAGTGCCCTCCCCCCCTCCCTCCACACACACACACATTCACACACACACACACACACACACACACACACACACACACACACACACACACACACACACACACAGAGGAAATGTGTCAAGGTGGGTCAGGAAATGTGTCAAGGTGGGTCAGGAAATGTGTCAAGGTGGGTCAGGAAATGTGTCAAGGTCACAACGGGGTGGAACCATGCGCTCCTCAATTTTTTTGACAGATTGTGTTATTGGTAGCATTTTAAAGCTTGTACACTAGTCTTGCTTTTGATAAAAGAAAATTACCCATCCATCTTGAATAGAAATCGAGATATTTCCGGTTGAAGGAGGTGGGGGATCGCCTGGTTTCAGAGGTTAAAAATAGCGCGAAAAAATGGCCGTCAAACTTCGCTGACTTCCAGAACTGTAGTCAAGTGTCCCGTGGAACTGCAAAGTTATATTTTGTTGTGCCTCTGATAAAACATTTTTCAGTAAAATCCACATGTGAGGCATCGTGGTGAAATCAGGCGCTCGTCAAAATAGCGAAATCTAAGAGCCAGGCAATTTTCTTTCAGTTCTGCAATTATTGTCGAATTTTTGTGGGGGGTTTTTGCTCAACGCCTTTTATGTCCATATAAAAATACATTTCGATGCCAATTATACTGAAAAACGCTGATTAATGGCACAAAATTTGAAAATATTCAGTTTTCAAGGACTCTCAAGCTATAGAATTTACCTAACTTTGGCGGCCATTTTCTCGAAATTTTAACCTCAGAAAACAGGTTGCCTCTACCTCCTTCAATCGCAAATATCTCGACTTCTATTCAAGATAGATGGGTATTTGTTTCACAGAAAGAAAGACAAATAAACAAGCTTTAAGATGATACCAATAACTCCACATGCCCAAAAATGGACGAGTGCCTGATTCCACCACGTTGTGACACATATAGAAATGTCTTTATAAATGGACATAAAAGGAGCCGACACACACACACACACACACACACACACACACACACACACACACACACACACACACACACACACACACACACACACACACACACAC